ATGATGATGATGATGATGATGATGATGATGATGATGATGATGATGATGATGATACGGAGGAGGATGATGATGTGATTAGCGGGAGTAGGAGGGGAGGGGGGAGAGAATGAGGATGAGAATGAGGGTAAGAATAGATTAATGGAATTGACATTCACTAATGCATTTTAAAAGTACATTCTTTTCAGCATTATCTTTCCTATATACACGTACTTCATAATAATTTTCTTTGCACTTACCTGAGGAATCCAAGCTGTCGACAGGCCACTGAGGCGTCCTTGATATCCCAGGCGTCGTCACAAACCACGCCCCAGTTCCCTGCTCGGTACACTTCCAGGATTCCAGAGTAGGGGCTGCCTGAGGTTCCAGCAAGTCTGACTCGGGAGGAGGGGGAAAGAGAAGGGGGAGGTGAGCGGAGAGAAAGAAAAGCGGGAAACTTTCCCTAAAAGTCATAATATCTGTGCAGTAGTATCATATTCAGCCATGTGAATTTACACCAATTATCGTTATAATAATTTTTAAGCGGTAAAGAGATATCTTACAGTTACGCTCCCTATCTAAACAAAAAAATGGGGGGGGGGGAAAGGGAGGATATTTAAACATTAGAGATATTTCTTTGAGCCAGAAAAGCATTTCATACAATACTTAATGATCCCAAGAATATAAATACATAGGATATCAAAGGAATGCAAAGTATTCGAGCTTTCGTGGAGAGAAATGGTCAACAGCGAGACCCTTATGATTATAGCCACTATCTTACATGAGTATGATGGGCAATGTCAGCTTCAAATTGATATATTTTTAATACACATATAAGCCAGCGTAAGTGTTGATTTTTAATTTTAAAGAAATGTGTAAAATTTGTGTTTTACTCAGTTATGATTGAACGTTTAAAAATTCGATAAATAACAGAGCACACTAATTGATTGTCTACATATTAATAAATTTAGCATCCCTTTGGACGCATTTTAACTGCTCGAGGTTTAGTTGAAATTGGTAATAAGGTGGCCGAGTCATTGTACTTTTAATGGCTCTTCATTTAAAGATATCTTGTACAATGATTTTCATCTAAAGGGGGGAGAAGGAGGAGGAGGAGGAGGAGGAG